AACTTTTCAGTAGTGCTCGACGAATCGTATTCATTTCTCTCAGACAACTGATAGTCAGCTAAAAAGTGGCAGCGAGCTGCGTATGAGGAAAAAAAACGAAAGTTGACACAATGAACCTAATCCAAGCATTTTTTAGCAGCGGCTTTACGACGAGCGCCCGCAAACTATGCACGCGTGTTGAGCACATGTTTCTGTCTAAATGCATTGATACCTATTCAATTTCGCACAGTTCTGCTTATACGGTTTCATTCGAAGCCAGGATGAAGGAAACAAAGGACCATGTAAAGAAAAACCACACTTTTTGTAAAATGTGAAACGAAGAAAGGAACGGACACGATTCCTTGACGGGTTTTGGACTTGCGGAAGTATTACTATTACATCGCTTATGCTTGCGGATCGCACTTCCTTGTCAGAGGAAGGCGTCTACAGATCAAACGGAGCGTTCCGCGGAACTACTCATTGGTTGGGGATTTTGGCCGAGTCCTACCACCCCCTACTTCCCTTCCTCATCGATCTGTCGAGGTATAACCCCATCCCTTCCCCATCCTCTCATTTTACCTACCACCTTCCCAGATTTTCCCAACCTCCCACCTGTCCATACCCGTCTTTCAGTTTTCCAACTTTCTATTTTTCTTTCTCTCACGTTTGTGTGTCGTTTTGTGACCACAGTAACTCTTCACATCCAACTTTTCACGCATGATAAGTGGCTCATTCACCCGAAGTCCCTCAGCGTGTAGAAAATTTTCCCCTAGCTTGAGACATATTCATGCTCCTTTCGATGTCTGAGCAGCCGCAGCCCTTCATTCTCTGCTCTCGAACATTCATGAGAGGACCCCCACCAAAAGTTGTAGTTGTCACGTAAACGGGCGGTGCGCAGTGATGCTTGAGTATTGGGGAATTTCTTCTCTGGAAACTCTTCGCGAGGTTGATATACTACTTTATTCGGCTTACGCACGTTTCGGCGAAACCGCCTTCATCAGAGCCTGAAAGCACCGAAACGAAATGATGCTTGAGTTCTTCCCAGCTATCACACAGCTCGCCTGACTTCTAGTTAGATAGATTCTAATGCTTTGATGGTACTTTTCTGATCATCAAGTTAGGCGATGTCTAGAGCGAGCGCACTTCTAGGTAGAAGTGCCAAGTAACATGACTATCAGGAGCTGACTACTAGCGCCCTTGAAAAGTCGATCATCGGACATAAAAAAGCGAACTGCGTGCGAAATCAAATATGAAGTGACTGTCCGCCAATCAAGTGAAACTATTAGATTATCTAACTGGTTGTAGCTATCCCCATTTGATCACCCTCAAGCTCGCTTAGCTAAACTCACCACTTTTCACGTCACGTGTCAGGCACTTGACACCCATCCATCACACAGGTATGAACGCGGCAAGCTATCCTTCCCCATTTGTTACTTAGGAATGCGAGTAAAAAAAAGTGGGTGCAAAATTGCAAAATCGCTCTCTTTGCTCTAGCAGAAACACTTGTGTAACAACAAAGAATGAAACTTCACAGTTTCCCCATGAGAGAAGCGAGGAATTCTCCAGGGTTCATATTTGCAGTTGATTATGTTAACAGAAATTTTACTTTTGAAACATGTTAACCGTTTTACCCTTTGACTATACTTCTATAGCTATCTAGTGGAAAAACTCATTCTGCGCTCATATTTTGCGAATGTGAAGAATCTGCGATCCCGAGGAACTAGAGCAAAGGATTGTTGAGATCGCTTATTTCTCTCAGATCGTAGATTCTTCAAAAACGTGGTGGGCGAAGTATCTTCCTGTCTCGTCCTTTGCTGCCAATTTTCCAGAGAAATTGTGTATTCTGCACAGTGGATCCGCATCCTTGTCGCGAATATTTGCCAAATGGCAGAACGCATCCCCGAAGGCGCCTCCCCCACCTTCGCGAAATATGAGCGCGAATTCGGGGATACACAATACGCCTCTAAAACTAGAATGCACTTACATGGAACGCACATAAATGCTTCGTCCATGGGGGCGCTGATTAGCAAGACGTGTCTCGCGCTGCCTGGCAATGCATGCACACGATCAGCGCCAGGCCTTTCTTCTGCACACATGAATCAGTCAATTCTATTGAACTCGAGAAGCTTTGTAAGCAGCTCTAACAAGGGAGGTCGTTTAGGGCGTGCCCCGCTTTTTCGAAACGGTTTAGTGCACTTTGTAGGGCCTTGCCCATGAACCGTAAAAGTGGGCTTCGTTTTTGCTGTGCGGCCCCTGGAATGCCAAAAAAGGAGCGAAAAGAAACCTATAGAAACTGATTGTTTTTTTGAGCCTCTACGAGCTGTAAACCGCTTGAAACTTTGAACGCCAGTTGCTGAATGGAGGGACCCTATAAAGGTGCTATCGGAATCGAAGAGAAAAGTAGTTGGGGTATGGGGTCTTACTTGTGGCACGTAATCAAGCGTGAACGGCTTCATGGAATGGTTTCTTCAACGATCGGAGGAACGTTCAGCATCAACGATCGGATGGCCTAGTGATAAGCGTGGAAGGATTACTCAAGCGGGACGTTGGGTGGGGTTGATGGTTCAACTCCCTCGCTCGCGTGCGAGTTTTTGCATTTTTTATGTTTTGCTGTTTTCGCGTTCAAATATGTCTGTGCGTAAGTATGCATTCGATAACTGCCATTTATGGGCACATTTTAAATGGGAACACTGCATGAATCAGTGCTATTCAATTATTACAGGTTTTACATACCATTAAGCAAGACCGTAATTGAAAGTTGACCTTTATAGGTCAGACCATGCCCGAATCACGAATATGGATACCTTATTTGGGCTACGTGTGGCCATTTATCGCTAATATGGAGTGGCATGTTTCTCCCAATGAATGCGTTTGCTACACACAAGTAAGGGATGTGTAGGGCTACCCAGGCAAATTACGTCGCGGCCGCGGGAAACATAAGTGTGAAAATCATGATCGGGGCCATCGATTACCCCTGTAAACAATCTTTCGGCCAAAAAATTTTTTTTCGACTTTTTTGGGTGTGTGCGTTGGGTTGTGCCCGACAGTCTTTCTATAGAAGTCTACAGTGCCTCGCCAAAGGGACCCCCTATTTTATTAATATCCAAAGATAAAAGTAACAATGCCGATGAAATACATGCAAAGAGGAAGGAAAGGGAGGCATTCCACCAGGTTTGCTGTCCTGCCCGGCGGCCTGCTACGTCGTCGTTTCGTCATCGTCTTTACGAAGATGGATACTTCGGTCACTACTGCCGACCAAATGGTCCACCAAAACCCAAGAAATCGAAAAAAAATTTTTTTGGCTGGAAGTCCGTCCATAAGGGTAATCGATGGTTCCTGATGTACGATTTTGACACTTATTTTCGAGGTCGACGCAATTTGGCGCCAGTATAGCGCTTAACGTCCCTCGTATGGGGGTACATAGACGTAACTTTCACTCCTTTTTTGGCATTCCAGGAGCCGCACAGCAAAAACGAAGCCCACTTTTACGGTTCATGGGCAAGGTCCTACAAAGTGCAATAAACCGTTTTGAAAAAGCGGGGCACGCCCTGAACGACCTTCCTGGTAAGAGTGATCGCGTTCCATAACATAATTTTCGTTTTTCATAATTTTTTGGTTTTGCAGAAAATATAGCGTAAGTTAAGTAATATAAAACAAAAGCGTAAGTTAAGTATAACAAATAAAGTGTACGTTCACTTTGGAGGTGGTCCCTGCCATATTTGCGCGAGGCGAGCGTGTCTGTAGCGTGCCCTTTCTAGTCAAACGTGCCCGGGATGAGGGTTTGTGGTGGTGGTACTCGAATAGTACTTCCCACTCCACGCGCGATGCTGAACGTGCAGCGCGTCGATCACCAAGGTCCCATAGCGATGCACGTACTCTGCGGTACAGAACATAACAGCTAAAAGTGAGAGGGCGCAAATAAGTAGCGCGCCTGGCTATGTTTGGGCGTGTTTAGCCGTGCGGTAGCGACGGGGAGGTAGTATTGAGACGATAACAGCATATCACTACCGTCACTCCTCCAGCCCCCTTCTTGGATTCTGCTGACGGAAGAAACTGGGACGCACTGCAGCTGCGGATCCAGTCAAACCCACACAGGTTAAGGAACCAAACAGGTTAAAGAACAGGAACCACGGAGGGTGTTCATTTGTCATCAAACGTTAGCCAGCTCGATGAGCATTCTCGTATTAGGCTCCGGAATCAGTTTTTAGACGTACATCAAGAAAACTTAGTATGAAGGGGTAAGTCGTGTGCTTGTTTAGTGGGAAGCCGCGGCCGGCACAAATTGGAAATAGATGGAGGGAAAGAAACCGTAGCAACTAGGCAGATTCAGGTGATACCTTCAGGCTCAACACTTGTGAGCTACAAAAGTCACACAGTGAAAGATATAATTCAAAGATGGTTACAAAAAAATTCTGAGATTGGGCAAAAGACTTGACCCCGAGTTCATACTCGAATAAACTAAAACCTTTTTACGAACATATTGTTATTAGCAAGGTTAAGTCGTTATGTGACAGAGTAGAAATGATTGCCACAATCCGCTTGAATCTCTATCACTTTGAAACAAACCCTCTCTTTAGTACTGCGTATTTTCCCATTTGCATTAGTGGGCTGATTATCAAAGTCCGTATGTGATTCAATAAAATAAAAATACTGATAAACTATGGTGCTTGAATAAAAAACACGACCGCTTACCGGACTTTTCCTTTCTGCTCGGGAACCTCCTTCAGTCGAACACTACGTGAGGCCATAATATATCCTGTAGGCGTGTTTCTGTATATTCTCGCGGAAACAAAATCCCTTCCACTGACTATCAGTACATCGTTGTTTCCGTACTAAAATTCATAAATCATTCAGAATGAAAGCGCACTACTACTAATATAGGGAACACAAAATCGAGCATTACCAGGTAATGACCCGAATGCAAAAAACGAATTTTCACTCGCATCTGTGCGAAGGTGCTGTATTGCAAGGGACCCGCTCACCATCAGTGATGAAACCCTGGATCGGTTCCCAGCCTGTCTAACCAAGCCTTCCATCATTTCTGGGCAGGTGGATCTGTACCAGGCTCACCGGGCAGGTTAGAAAGCTGTTTGTATATCAACTTGCCTATTGTATTGCCAAAACGCATTGAAATGCCACTAATATTCTGAATGGAGCTATAATGCTGCACATGCCAAGAAGGATTGATCGGCAGCCAAAACTTCATTTTTTACATATGCATAAAATTACACCATTGCCCACGACACAATCATTTCAGCAGATTATTGATAGGTTTAATACTAAATTTTCGACCATCAGATTAGTCGGCTCATGACAAAAGCCCGACTGCTCGACGTTCGCCCGCTCATACTTGAGCAAAGTAAATAATGCCGGAACTCACAGTGATTATATCAAAGTATGGGGTAGGAGCTGCAACTGTACGAGCAAAATTGATGTTAGGATTCCATTTGGGCAATGCATCTAGGCCAGTCCACGTTTCGTTCATTACCGAATCAACATCGAGAGGCAATTCCGTCTGAAAGTTTCTCAGGTTCAAATGAGAATCAATTCTGCACATTTCTTTGTTCTCACATTCAAGTTTGCGCGCTGCTACGTCTGCAAGCGTGACGCCGTTAGCTTCTAAGCACCAGAACAGAATAGTCGGACAATTTCAGTGCAGATGGAGATTGCAGGATTATTATTCAAGCAAAAGCAGAATAGGTGCCAGTAAGGCAGCGTTCATACCTTGCGACTGGGGAGACAAGGCGATGTGGGAGATCGCCCGACAGGGATTATCGGTATGTAGTCGCTGAACGCCGATTCTCTCGAATCGCAGAATCGCTCAGTCTCCACAGTCGCCAGACCGATACCTATGCCTTCTCGTCGCGCGATCTCCCATATCGACGAATCTATCGGCCGCAAAGCATGAACGTGGCCCAAAAAGGATGGCGCAGCGAATTCATGGCAAAATTCACGATAATTTTATGATCCAAAAAGTAATTCCGCCTAAAAAGTGATCCACGAAACAGACACCTCTGACAAGGGAAGGATGGTAGGTCGAAGTGGCCATTTGAAATGAAATGTATACCGGCTGAAAGGTCTTCGGACGGGAATTACGAAACCGTCTTCCATATCTGCTGCGGACCTCCCAGAAAGAAGTTACGGAGCTTTTTTGGGGGAGAATACACTACAAAATGGCGGCGTAAGGCTGAAGAGATCGTGGCAGCATCGGCGAGGTGTGATGCGTTGCAGAGCTCTAACACGGTGTGCGTGGTCGAGGGTTTGAATCCTTGATGCGTGGGCTTTTTTGCATTGTTTCGAAAGTGGTCCCTGTGCACTTCAAAGCTAATTTGCATAACACTTGTCCCTGATAATGATGGAGCCATTGCGAACGATTTCATGGAGATCACCTCCAGCTGAAAAGATTGTCATACGAGCCGAAAACCACGAAAACACTTTGATCGAATAGGGCATAATTCAACATTATGTGAGTGGTGAATGAAGCTCTTGCCCATCGCGATCTCCAGCAGCATGATTGTCACATCAACGCCACTTCATATGGAAGTATTTTCCCCGTTATACTCATCTTCGTGCACAGCGTGCGTTCGCGTTTCGGCATCGTTTTCCAGTCATGTCGTTTGGAGAATAAAGTCATTTGAAAGCAAAATCTCCTTTTGGAATGCACTTTTGTTGTGTATGCTTTTCAAATCAAAGAGAGAAGAAGACAACAGCCCAGAAGTGTGTGGCACTAGTTGAAACTAACCCTACCCCAAAAACTCAAAAAAATTTTCGCTAAAAACGTTGCCTATAAAGTATTGTATTCAATGCGCTGTCACGAACTATAACAGTCCTTCTTTCAAACGCTGGCGTCATTTGGCGCCCACCACTTTTTTCCACCAAAGTTGATGAAAACTTGCTTATGGGGGTCAATTGAGGTCCTGATTACGAATATCACACTGGTTTCAAGCGCTGGCGCCATTATGCGCCAATATAGCGCTGAATTGGCGCGTAGTGGCACCAAATGGCGCCAGCGCCAAAAATAAATGCTGAATTCGTAATCAGGAACTCAATGCAAGTTTTCGTCGACTTTGGTGAAAAAAGAGGTGGGCGCCAAATTGGCGCATAATGGCGCCAAATGACGCCAGCGGTTGAAACGGATGTTATATTCGCGATCAGCGTGTTGAATTACATCTCTAGGCAACGCTTCAGCGAAAAAAATTTTTGAGTTTCTGGGGCAGGATAGTTCAATGGTGCCCAGAAGTAATTCTATGGAATGGTTCGCAGTGGCTCCATCAGTTCAGAATCATTACGTCACGACATTATCACGGAGAAGTGTTATGCAAAATAGCTTTGAAGTGCACAGGGACCACTTTCGAAAAAATGCAAAAGAGCACGCGCATCAAGGATTCAAACCCTCGACCGCGCATCCGTGGGCCCTACGACGTACCCACTCGGCCATGCTGCCACGATCTTGTCAGCCTTACGCCGCCAATACGTAGTGTATCTCCCACTAAAAAGCTCCGTAACTTCTTTCTGGGAGGTCCGCAGCAGATATGGAAGACGGTTTCGTAATTCCCGTCCGAAGACCTTCCAGCCGGTATACATTTCATTTCAAATGGCCACTTCGACCTACCATTCCTTCCCTTGTGAGGTCGATTGGCATCAACTTCGCCAGTGATTCCCGACTGACTTGAGCAAAACTGCCGATAAAGTTCCATCACAACTTTACTGGAACTATAAGCATGTTTGTCATTCTTGAATTCAACCAGGAGTAACTCATAGATTTAAACAGAACAGATTTTAGAAGCTATGACGAAAAAGCATGACTAACGGTAAGCAAAATACGAAATAGTCACACACGCACCTTCTCGTCTTGGCCTGATAACGTATCAGTAACGCCATGCAGCGTGACCGACGTCATGGCAGTTGATCCTTAAAAGAAAAGTTTGGGGGCAAGCGTAAACTCAACAACTGACACTAAAAAACGGAACTTCACCAACTTTCGAGATTAAGAGTAATTAAGCTGTTCCACTACATATTCAATCAATAATCGGCGTGAATGTGAAGCGAGTCTTCAGAGGCACCCAAAACTGGAAAACCTGTGACTACAGTGCTACAACTGATAAAGCCATGATCAAACCCACGCACTCTACCCCTATTCCGACATTCTAAACTTCATTTAATCAACTGCTACTACTGCAATTTCACTCACTTAATTGCCATTAAATGAGATGATACAAGGAGAGATATCCCATCAAAAATCCCCAGTAAATAATGAAAGTACTGCTTTCTTTTAGAACTCGTTCAAAATCATTGACTTCTAAAAGAGCACAAGTATTTTGAAGGGTCAGAAGGTCGAAGGGGTGATGGAATGACGACTGAAACAGCACAGCAGCTGTCCTAGTAATTGAAGAAAGTAGCCATCAAAAGAAGCATACTTGCCTATCCAACCCTATTTTATCTACCTCTTCGCTTTTGGACCAATAAACTAGAGATTTAGCGCCTCTATGAGCCGATACCTAAAAACCGTGTACGAATGGGCACTCAAAATTCACCTTTAGGGAAAATATCATGGCGCGATGTTTTTAAGAGGGGACAGCGGGAACGGGCCATTTGTTATGATGGATAACCTGAGGCGTGCACTGCTGACGTTCTGTCACTGACGTGCACAAGCCAACTACTTTACATATTCCCCGCAGAAGACAGCACTTTAGATGGCTTCGTAGTTCACAGGTTAGCGTACAACAATAAAAGGGCAGAGCTACAGGTTACGCCCCACTCCTTTCAGTGGTAGAAAATCTACATTGGCAATCACACTCTATCAACTCCTTTGCCAATAGCGTTTGTTACGATAGTTGAAGGGGAGCTTTAATAGCGGTCTGACTAACGTTCGGACCG